TTGTCACACTCCTGTCTTCACTTCAAACACCCTGCTGTTCTGGATCATCCGACACGTGGCATGTTCAAATAGCTGTTGAACGAGGCTGATAAAGATTTGGGCACTGCATGTTACAGTGCTGACTCAGTCTACTTATTACTTCGTGGTCAACGATTTCGAAGGCCTTTGCAAATTCATTGGAATTATGGTAAAGATAAAGTCGACTACCACTCTATGCTCTGTTCGATGATGATGAGAACAAATGCAATTTAGTCCTTACATGATTTCCCTTTCCTGAATTCAGCTTGTTCCGACAGGCTTATTCTGCATCCAGTGCATCTTTTATTCTCTCCAGGATGTCGCGACTTAGTATTTTACTTGGTATAGACCTCAGGTGATATGCAGTGAAAATAGAAATTACAGCTATTTATGGTGTTAAATAAATGTTGACTGTCATTTTGTTATACCATGACACTAAAAATGCCATTAACAAATCTACTGTCTACCAGATATTTCAATAATATTACGCAACATAAATGTGAGAATACTAAACAGGTATATTGTGGTGAGAGCTGTCTGCTAGCCACATTGATAAACATCAGTTTACTTCAATGTTTATGCGCCAAATCTTGGTCATGAGAAAAGAACAAGAACAACGACTAACTCAACAACCAGTTACAGATGATGAAATACTCCATGCAATCAAACAAAATCCCTACAAAACCAATACTTGAAAATAAACGATCTGTTGCCTGGCCTTTGTATTCTGTCGTTACAATATAATGCCAATTTCTATCATCACTTGTTCTTTTCCCCAACATTCTACACAGATTCTTTTGAGATTCGTGTGTTTCAAATATGGGAATACTTGCGTAAAAATACAGGCCTTCAGAACATCTTTCAAAATAATCACAGTTTCAGATGACGAATGCAGTCACAATTAATTACTCTGAGTTTTCTTAGGAAATACGCAATCACTGTTATCTGTGTGATGGTTAGTCATCAAAAGTGAATGTATACGAAAGAAAAGGCGTTCAGCGTGTGGTGCTATTATCAGTGATTTCATTGTCAGACTGAACAATCACACACATGTTAGAAGTCTTCATAGTAAGAAAAAGGGAATATTTCCAGGGATGTGTCAGTTAATTTGCAAGTTTTAGATAACACTCACACAATGCAAAAAGAAAGCAACAATCGTGTAGGAACTAAAATAAAATGTAATATAATTCAAAGTGTTGAGTACTGCTCTGTCTTAGTTGATTGTCATAAGTAGCGGGGAGGACGAAAATAATGCAACTCAAAAACAGCTAAAATTCGTGAGTAAGAAAATTGCCTATCAAGTGTTAAGAGAAATTAGGTCAATTGTAGATTCAGTAACCGAATAAATTTGTGATTACTGTTTCCTGACTGTAGAAGGAGAATACGTGGATAAAACAGATAAAGTGCATCAATAGGAGAGAAATATGTATTCTAAAAACTAACATGAACAAATGGAAAGAAAAACTTATAACAGCATCGATATTCATTAAAGTCACACCGAATACATCCAACAAGAGTGACTCAGTACAACTACCAACAACTTGGAATATAACTTAAATACAAAAAAAACATGAATGAGAAAAAATAATGAACTATATATATGAGTACAAATCATAAATGTGTGAATCAAACAATTCCAACAGTGGTGTGAACATGGGCAGTAATTTTGCTCAAAATATTACCAATAACAAAACTTATCACTGTGTGCAAACTATTGAAATATAATTATACTTTATTAGATAAATATACCTTTGATGAAGAAACTAACTGTCCTCATTCAACTCGGAAAATGTTATCTTAGCCTAACTAACACCTAATTACATCTTTCAAGTAAGTTGTACTCTTCATTGTTTGAGAAATACGTGATAATGGGCCTTCATGGCATTTCGGTTAACAGATACGCTAACAGAAATGCTTACGAAAGGTGTAAAAAATCAAACTGATAACTGTAAATGCAACCAGCAATACTGCCCAATGAGAGGTGACCACGAATTATCATGACCAATCCGAAGTCGTTGATTTGCAGCCAATCACTAGTTCCAACAGCAGCGTACTATTGGTGTTAAGTACCAGTTATGTCAGTTTGACTGTTCGTCTATCTAATGTTTAATCAAGGAAGCTCAGTTTTCACAAAAACTGCTGCTGTGAGAAACAACGACTGATCGCATTAGTCAAAACTGTTTATAGGACAAATTTTGTGTAGATAGAAATTGCGTTCATTGTATCAGAGATATTTTCATATTCAAATAGGCGAAAAAAGTCTTTGTAAACACTTTAGCAAACTGTCATTTAACATTCACTGATAAAAATGAACATCAAGGTAAGGCGAAATGTTTGTTGATAATAAGTGATTAAACGAAAACAGGGAAGTTTTCTGTTGTGCACGAGTTTTCAATGGGTTGTGCTGGTCATAACTGTCCTCTTTTTCACCTATTTGTAAGTTTCTTATTGAGTCAAGAATTATTGGAATGTGCAGAGGAAGTGGAAGAATGATCGGTCCATATGACTGGATGTATCTGGGCTTAGTGTAAGTCGTAAATATGAGGTGTCAGCCACTTTGTAGTTTGGCGTTATTTTGTGCATATATTATTTGGGCTGTCATTTTCACACTCCAAATCCCAGTAGCAGTGGATATCATATTTGCAGTAATAACGGTGAGTCCTTCACGTTTTGCTACTGTATTTCATGGAACTCTGTTTTGTTATTTATTTGAATGAAGACTTAGTGTCCTTTTTATTGTTATAGAAAATACGTACGAAGAGGTTTCAAATCAAGATGATAGTCTGATTACGCCTACACTTTCCATTATATTTTGCATTTTAAGTACATAAATCATCTATCGGGTTAGTAGAGGATTGTCCCTAACTATCGGTGAGTGAATTTGTGTTCATATGAAAGCGTGTTATCATTTTGTCACTTGAGCAACGTTAGTTAACTGAGATTCTAGCAGTGTCAAAGCTGGGATATTCCATAGTTGTTCATGAACTCATAGTGGCATATCAGTAAATATCTTCATTGAGCTGACAAATATTACATTAGAAATAATTTTTATCGATGCAAATTTAATGTGAGAAACATATGTTAAAAAAGCAGGAATTAAAGAATTCATCGGGTGTCTTTGGGACTATTCAGCAGAACACTCAACACACAGTGGTATATATCATATAGGAAAAGGTTTAAATTATTTATAATTACATTTCAATAGTTTGCACAATGATGAGTTTAAGTTTTTGGTAGTATTTCGAGCAAAACTACTGCCCATGATCACACCAACTGTTTGAATTGTTCAACTTCAATTCACAAATATGTTACTCATTATCATGCATACATAGTTCATTTTTTGTTCATTGAGGTTTGCTTATCCAAGATTATATTCCAGGTTGCTGGCAGTTGTGCTGAGTCACTCTTCTTAATGCATCCGCCATCACAGTAATCAATATAGATTCAAGATTGTGGCTTTTGTCCCAGGCATGTGCAGCTTTAGATGAATGTTTTTTTCACATTTACTGTGAGCTTGTGTCCCTATCGACTGGTCTTTAGTTAGGTGTTCATATGCATTCACTCTTATTTTCAGTGATCCAAACATTTGACCCACCGACATTCAGCACCAGATATTTTGTAAATAACGTTGCTACTTTTATTCGTCAGTTTTACTCGATTTTCAGATGATTTATTCTATTTTTCATCAGATTTGCTGGTTCAAATGTGGTGCAAATGACAATATTTTTGAATTTTCAACGAATTGCCTCTGATGTGACATTTTTGTCTGGTATTGTGACCATGATTTGCCATCCTCTTTCTCGTCGTTCTCTGCTTTCACTCCTTTATTCTTCTTCTTCTTCTTTATGTTATCTCTGATGTTTTCTTTTGGGCAATTGTTATCGAGTAACATTTCCAATAAGACGTTTATTCCTTTTCGTTCATCATCTGGTCTTGTGAGTCTGCTTATTCTGTTTGCAAGACTCTGTCTCAACCTTGCTTTACTGTGAGTGAATGAGCTGAGTGATAATCAAGTAACCTGCTAGAATATGTAGTTCTTCTACATATCATCATTTTTATGCTACCATCTGTTACTCTTTGTACTTGACAGTCAAAACTTGGTAGTTCCACAATTTCATTCTCGACTTCCATAGAGAATTCTATTGAGTTAGTATGACTGTTTATGTGCGAGATGAATTTATCAGTATCATACCTATTCATTATTATTAACGTGTCATCTACATGTATCCATCAACATTTAATTGAAGACATAATTGGTTTAAGTGCATTCTTTTCCCAAATATCCGTGAATACATCAGTTTTTATTGATGAGATGGGTGATTCTATGGCGGCTCCTTCATTTCACTGCCATATCTTTCTTTCAAATATAAAATATTTTGTTAGACAGAATTCAACCCCTTTTATTACCTCTTCTATGGATAATTGTGTCCTGTATTTTAGGCCGTCCTCTCATCGTTTTCTGTGAACGATAAAAATATAACTGAAAAATATTTGATCTATTCCACAGTGTACAAACATTTTACTGACAGTAAGAAAAAGACTGGCAGTCACGTTACTGATCAGTATCACATATCCTAATTCGAATGATTTTTAATGGTATATATATATATACCGAAATTCGATGAATCCATTAAATCTTGCTTACTAAACATCTGTTGCTTGCATATTCATCTCATCAATTGCATTTTCGCCCAATCCTGTGATCTATTATTAGATTATCTTAATTTACTGTTGATTTGTTGCGGATTCTCTGAAATGCTACAAGACTTCAATCAACTGAAAAATATGACTTTTTGATAGAAAATTTATTCGACATCTGAAATCAACAACCTTACAGGTACTTAGATACATTTTTCGGAGCAAGGATTTCAGAACCATGTATTTCCCCCAATTACTGTCTACAAGCGTGTAGAAAATCAGTTTTTTCGAGCAGTGTGTTATGTGGCGTTTACTTTGTTAACAACGTCTTCTTGTCATTTTAGAATATCGCGGTGTCGATCATTTGTGGTTTGGAAGCAACTTGTCTTGAATGGAAATTGCGTTTGATTTCACTTGTGTTGGCTACAGTGTTTGCCGTTTTAATATTTCTTCCAGCTATATTCACGAAGTCATTCATACTGTCAAACTTTGCGATCCAAATAATCTGCTCATCATTAATGGGAATAATTTTATTCATTCTTATTATTCTATTATGGATTGGCTTTCATTTTCAGGTATGTGTATTTTTTTGAAAATCGTATCATTTCTTCTGAAAACATCTCATATGTGGGAGGAAGTATTAGTCCAGTTCATTGACTGCGTGTCAGTTAGGAATACCATTAGTTTATTAGGACCGTGTTGATAATTATTTATCCTCTGTGCAAAAGGTTGCTTATATAGGTCAAAAGTCTGTTGATATTCTGAAAGTTTCATTTTCGAATACTGTCAAACAAATATTTTTATTCCACATTTTTTCATGTGAATGAAGTTTGTATGTAAACTTCACAAAACGATATTCCGCTGACTGTGTTTCTTTCACGCCTCACGATTTTAAATTAACTAATTTTGCTCTTCTATTTACAGTTACTTATTCAAGTATTGGTTGGTTGTGCATTGGTGGTTCTGGCGATAGTAAGTTAAATTAACTAAATATGACCGATAATTCTTGTTTACTCATCCACAGTGTTTTGAATCCTGATGTGATTTAAGGCAGTAAAATGTCTATCAATCGACGTTAATAACGTCGATCTTCAAACACATCCATATGAGCGGTTGAGTGTCTTGTCGTCTCGACTGACTACATAAGCCACAACTAATAACTTGCAAGGCTATGAACAATATGGTCCTTTCATTCCAGATAACGTACCCATTTTACACTTCACCAGCAAACATAGACAGTTGGGATTAGTTAGCAGTGGGGTAACGTGAGGACTAAGATTAGTGCTATCAGTAGTGATTGCAGTAATGGTTGCATTCACATGAATAATGGTGAATTGTTTCATTGTAGAAAAATGATATCTGATTTGTCAAACAAGTACCTCTGCATTTTCGCATTGTAGACTGAAAATTTCGAAACTAATGAGAATATTCTAAATAGTGTATTCTTCAGTGAAATAAATAAAACATGCATCCACAAATGTCGTCTTAGCTGTTAATGCTGGTCTTATTGATAGAACGCCAATCCGAATTGTCATATTCTGTAGATGAGTAAGAAATCGATTCAAGTGAATCCACATAACTCAATAACTCTTTTCAAATGCAATAATTTTCTCCAGCAAATATTTCATCTTTATTTAGGAAAGATTAATGATTTAGGTAGAGAAAGAAAGACCAGATTTGCAATATAAAATGATATCATTCTATTTCACAGGTTCTCATCAAGTGCAGACTACCTGAAATTATAATGCTTATATAGATGATAATAACATACTTGAATGTTTAAGTGGCAGTAGAGAAGAAATACTATAAAATTGACGCATCCAAAATGTAAGCATTACACTTCTCAGTTTAAGTTTTCATCATCAATTTATACGCTTTCAAAGTAGAAAAGGGGGAAGGGATAAGACAGAAAACAGAAAAAATTCACAAATAGGGCTAGCTTGCAGGTCCACTCAGCAACTCAGAAAATAAAAGCAGTTCCAGTTTATAAGATTGAGATTTGCTCAATGAGTTGAGATCATTGAATTAGATGACCAATTAATGTAATCAGAATCAAAATTCAGTTACTAAGGGAGTGAGAGTGTAATCACACTCTGTATCTATATGCATAAGTCTGGTTTGCATGGTTTGATTACGATAGCTTTGGCAAATCGTAGTAAATTTGCTATCCTTGAAAGAATTAGAAATCTCTACCAGATGACCAGTATGAACAATATGTCTGGTAATTGCACTCTGAATTTTGATTTTGATTATGCTAATTATTCATCTAATTCAATGATCTCAACTCACTGAGCAAATCTCAATCTTATAAACTGGAACTGCATTTATTTTCTGAGTTGCTGTGTGGACCTACAAGCTAGCCCTATTTGTGAATTTTTTCTGTTTTCTGTCTTATCCCTTCCCCCTTTTCTACTTTGAAAGCGTATAAATTGATGATGAAAACTTAAACTGGGAAGTGTAATGCTTACATTTTGGATGCGTCAATTTTATAGTATTTCTTCTTTACTGCCACTTAAACATTCAAGTATGTTATTATCACCTATATAAGCATTATAATTTCAGGTAGTCTGCACTTGATGAGAACCTGTGAAATAGAATGATATCATTTTACATCGCAAATCTGGTCTTTCTTTCTTCATCGAAATTTATCAAGGGAACCAAATGAAGTAAATGATTTCAAATGGATCGTCAGTGCTTTTCCTTCTTACTTCACTCTGAAAATCATTCGAAATAGTGAAAATGAGTGGTGTGCACACAAGTATCAGTCGACTGTCTTTTATATTATTACAATATGAAAATTCTGAAACAGTGCTGACGCGCAACACGATTGTTAATGAAATTCACTAATACTTCAAAGGAGATTTCTAGAGGTTTCATTGGTAACAGTCTCATTATCAAGACTAACTGCACAACTCGGCCTTCATTTATGCAATCACCACGTCATAATGTCTGAATACCATGTAATATGCGTCTGTAAGGATTAAACATAGAGAAGAGAAACCTAAGTAGATCGACACTTAAGTAACAATGTGAGCGTTCATGTAGTCTAACTCAATTTTTAACTGATTCAATTAACTAGTTCGCGTAATAGATTTCCACTATTCCATAGTGTACTAATTCACTGGCTGCGTTCCAAATTCTTCGTCATTTCAGTTCATCTTTACAATCGTGAAATTTGTATGCTCTGAGAAGACAGACATAACAACTGGTGGAAGTATTTTGTTTGCAAGTATAGCATTCAGTGTGATAGCGGTATCGTATATTACCATCTTGTATCTGTTTCCCAAACAACTTTACTGTTAGCAGTTTTTTGACCCAGAGCCCGATTGATCAACTGAAGAATTCAGGTGTTTCATTGTAAACGGATATTCCACTTTATCAGCATTGTCAGCTACCAGTAAATGTTTTTTCATTGAGTGGTAAAATAAAAGATTTTCTCTAAATGTTTATTCTTTGAAGATAATTTCCACAAAGCATAATATTCAGCACAGTTAAATTATGGTGATCGAATGGAAATGCACCAACTCACCATAGGACGTCAAACTACCTAATGCATTAGCTCAACAGATTTGGGCGAAAGAACAGAGGAAGAATAAGGCATTGATAATAAAGAAGGAGAATTGTACAGAAATTCTTCTGTGTATCATTTTTATGCAGTTTGCAGCATTTTTCTGAATAAATGGTAGCTTTTTACCCCACTTTACTGCCCTGATCTGATTTGGCACTTGAAGTTATTCAGCGTGGCGAATTCCAAGAAATATACATCGATCGATTTATTTGCATGCTCATCTACTTGAGTGGGTTTAAATATTGATTTTAAACTGCACACAAAATGAACCAATACGGAAAATCATCTTCAGTAAAGAGTAACGCTTAAAAGGTATATCGTATGAAATTCTCACTTCGTTCACCTCAGTTTCCACTGGAAATACATTAAGGAATCCCGCTGTGGACATGATAGTTTTTTCCTCATTTCACTGTAGTGATGGATCAAACTGTAGACACACTCGAAATTCGTAGTGTCAGATTGAAACGAAATAATGTCATATATGCATAGAGCATATACAAATCATTGTGAATGTAAAATAATTCGAATAGTTAGTTACCTGAGGGAGGGTTTAGTCCAGCTGACACAAATTTCAATAACATGGTTCGAACATCCATGCAATTTGCACGTCTAAGATGCTTCTTTACAGACGGTACTCAGATTTGGCCGTTGACGCTTCTTGTTACGAGGATGTAATTCTCCTGTAAGTTTCCAAAGCAGCTGATCACCTATTGGAAGTTCTCGAAAGCAACCACAGGACACAAGTAAAGGATGTGTCAACAAAACAAGCCTAATTTTCAGGGTAACGTTGTCGGACACATAAGAATATTTTGAAGGTGATCACCAAATTCGTATCTAACTATCGGTCTGTTATTCTGAAATGCACTATAGCGAAGGCATCCGAAACAATCATGTTGTTTCCATGCCACATAATATCGACATCATGATATTCTGAAATGAGAAGAAGATATTGCAAACAAAGTGGTTGTGGAAGATAATATTGGGGAAATATGTGATGATAAAATTTAAGGTTTGCGAAAACTATTTCACCATCCCTGTAAAGTTGTTGATTTAGACTTTTAAGTTGACTTTCCATAGAGAAGTCATGTTTGCAGTTCGAAAAATATTTCTGGTGGGCAAAAAGAAACTTGTAACTGACAAACAGAAAAGTAACATAATCTAAAGATGGATCGTGAATTTGATCCAAAATATGATTGATGAAATGTTAATCACGAAGTGAAAGATAATTACTGGTGTGCAACTACATAATATTTGAAGGGAGAAAATATTGACCTGTTCCCCAACAATCTGTGGAGACACTCTAGCTTGTGCGAACGATATTCGGTAATGACCTTAACACTGCTGGAATCTTGACTCACGAATGCTGCTTAAGTACCGAAAACATAATAGGCTTTCATATCACTGGATAAACATTCAAAAATTTAAACAACCCATCTTCTAATTTACTGACAGACAATTTCTCACCTTGGGAGGCGAAAACAAATGAATGCAAAAAGGGTAAGAGGAATGTCATCTTGATTTGAAACTACATAGTGAGCATTTTATACACACCTAATTTTAACGTCAAATATTTATTCAACTGATTAAGTAAACGAAAATCCGTAAAAGGCAACTGTGAATGGAGAATGCCTCATCTTAGTAACTGCACATATACTGTTCATTACCAATGAAATTTGGAAGTGTAAAGTGATCTTCCAAATAATGAATGCATAGGCCAGGACCACACTATATAAACGATGAGTGACATGTTATATATACGCCTTACTCTGTGCCAGCATTAATCCGTTTATTTTGAATAATCTTCATCAAGTGATCGCTAAATAGGCAAATGTCTCTGTGTTAAACAAACAACATTCATTAAAATAGAAAGCAGAACAACTGTGAGCATTAAAACCTGATGTAAAAGTGTCCATAGGCGAAAACTGCAATTATTTCAAATATTCAATGCATACTGGTAGTCAGTTTGCCTCATATTTTAACTTATTTTTACCAGCAAAAGTAGTATGCCAAGCTGCAAAAGTATCTACACTGGTCTCTTTTCGCATTTCAGCAAGAAAATATGTTTGATACAATCAATGCAATTTTCCCCCAAATAAAACTTTCCGCGAAATTAATCTCGACTAATGCGATTCACTGTTGACATTCAAAGCAGTGGGTATTGTGAAACATTAGGGTTTAGAGAGACGAACACTCAAGTAGACATAATTTACAATCAACACCAATAGTATTCTGCTATTTGACCTACCAATTGACTGCAAATCAAGGACTTTGAGTTGAACACGATAATTCATGTTCCCGATGTATATGATAGTTTCGCTAGTCACAACAGTACTCATAAGTATAATAAACATTGCTGGTGTGAAACATTCAGCAAAAACAAACACAGGAATTTGTAGTAGTTATGAAATAAACAGAATCTCGAATGCTGTTCCATGAAAATAAATCAGGGTTTATCGATTTTCTTCTGATATACCTGTAGCAGCCTTCAAATTTCCCTTCATGAAATGGTAATCGAAAACCATCACCGAATGAGTTTTTACAGAGAAAAATACAATTTTTGTCGAAGGAGTTGACCACGTGGACAGACCAAGGGCATGTATTCAGAGTTTCGTGTGGAGAATTAATTTCTTTATCGGGAGTACCTCATTGACGCTCAAAGCATCCGATAGACACTAGGGTATTTGCCCACTCTCTATTTCAGTCAGGAATCATTATTCACAAGTAGTATTCAATTCGAACATCTAACCGTCAGATAGAAGACGACAGTGATTGCATATTTCTGTAGAAAACTGAGAAGCAGCAGATTATGACATTATTTGTCACCTGATGATGTGATCATCTTGAAAATCTTTCTGAATGTCAAGCTTTCTATTATCTGGTCTACGACTTGAAGTCTGTGAGTCCAAGAATTGTCAGTGTAGATTGGTGAAGAATTGAGGAAGCGGTGACCGAATTATCTTTCAGGTGGCTGGCTGATATTCTAATATTTTCATCGTATAAAAATACTCAACTCTCTAGTTAGTGGTAGGATCAATTATTGTTTGTAAATTAACAGTGAAAATTTATGTAACGTGATTAACAGTTATAATCTCATTTGTAATAGAATTCATCCGAAGTTATTATACTCTAGTTATCTCCTTTGCGCTTCAGTCTACAGTTATTTTTGATGATGAGAACTACTTAAGAATACAATACACATGATGTTTAAGTGGCAGGGGTTGAGCAATGACAACTACGTTGTTTTTCGTGTAAATGCACAAACCATAATTATCTTGGCAATTTTCTTTATGCCTAAATATTCTCAAATGATAAATGCGCTTACCATTGGATTCTTGTAGAACTGTTCATGGATGTCGTTATTTCAGCAGAAGTCTGAAACATCGATTCCAACTTCATGTTGTCATCGAAGCAATTACGAGGTTGTTTATTTCAAATAAATTGCTCCCTTTTAATTGCCAAAGGAGTAAACAGAAAAATGTCAGGCGTTGGCGCTGCTCAAGTAAATGCAGAGTCGTCTGGAAGTCAACAAGATGTGTGACATGAAAATATCCCAAATAATAACAGCGTTTTTTGAAGTGCAAAGCAAGATATTTCTAAATGTTTCGCTATGTAAGCCAAAGTTGCTTCAGTAGATATACTCGAATTGGAATGAGCACCACAATATAGTCAAAAATTACATATATTGAAGTGAACTCACTTGAAGGTCACTTGTCGTCAGATATCTATCCCAATACAACAGTCGTCACATATATTTGAAGTGTCTAATGTGAAAATGACCAAATAATTCTGCTGAAGAAGCTGTGGCTCACACAGCGAAACGTTTACAAAATCCTATTTCGATTTTCTAGATTCTGTGTGATTATTATAAGTAATTATATAGCGATTTAATCTAAATGTTTGCTCAAATTATTCCAGGAAATCGGTAACATCTGTGGTCTGGATATTTACAGGACACGTTAGATTTGTTCTTAAAATAGTTTCGGATTTCCCATTGATTGATTATTTTGGAATGAAATGGGCAAGCCCTTCAACATTGCATTGGGACTAGCATGTTATCATTTGGCGGATGATGGCTAGCAGTGAAATCCTGGATGCACACTTCGTTTTATTTAGCACTTATCAACTAAATGGATGCATTTCCTCTGTGCGTGTTGCTGTTCCCGTTGAGACTAGAAACCAGTAGGCGGTATTATCGACTGGACCACCTGAACCACGAGACCCATGTGAGCCACTGCTGGTCACCATCCACCTAATGAATCCTAGTCATCGGATTACGTCATCGTACTAACAGCCAATATCTCAACAGAGAACGAATATTTTACTCCGAGATAATTGACCGTGGGAAACACGAAGTTGTGTCATAAAACAACAAAATTTGGAACCAACTGTATGAGAGTTGGCTTTGCAGACTGAATGGTCTGGTGGATAATACTTTGACACGTGACGCTAGGCTCTGTTCTCAGAAAGAATACAATCACTCACCAAGAAATCAGGCACATCCAGCCGATGTAATAACCATCTACCAAATAACCAAATACTTGATAATGATAATTCACAGCAATCCTAACGGTGCTGACGTATATCCAGCCTTTTCTGTATACAATTTTCATATCTGACTACATTTTTTAAACTATGTGATGTTTGCACTCTATGATTCACCTTTGTAATTCTCAGTATGAAGGTAACAAGGCTTGATGAATTAGAAATCCAAAGTTTTCTCGTTAACTAAAGTAATTAACACTCAAGATTAAAAACTACTAAATGCGCTAAGAGAATGAGATTATACAAAAAATTTACGAAAATATGTGCTATTACACATTTTGCTGATCGTGAAAATGTAGCGAAGAGTCGT